TTGCTGGCCTCATTGCTCTGAATATACTACCACACTGCATGATAAAATCAACAATGACTTTTCTTAATGCATGTAAATTATCGCTTCTCTGTAATGTTTGATGTCAATTTATTCCATGACAATGGTGCAAACTAGGATCTGACCGGACAAGACAGCCGCATATTTAGTTTAGGTGTTGCTGTTACTGCAGGCCCTTGTCCAGATGGAGGACTTGGCTTCTTCAGTGAGGATAATTCAATACTGCACTTTGATTCAATAGAGTGCGAGGTAATTTTCTTCTTACCTGATGTGGTTACATCTAAGTAAAATTTCCTTTGGGTGCTTCAACACCAACCGGGCTTCTGTCTATAGAGTTGTTTTTATTTATATTTCTTGAGCTGATGTTGTTGCTTCTCATTTTTTATATTTGTTTCTTGATATAGCTTCATTCGGGTTTAAGTGCGTTGCTGCTGGTCGCCTCTTGTGATTGTGTACAGCTTGCTTCTGACATAGCCAAGATTAAAGGAGAGGGGAGTCATTGCTGATGGCTTGGAACTTTTTGGTGCATCATGCTATGCGACTAAGGTGCAATGCCTTATCCATTGAAGCTTTTGTTTCTTCATCTAACATGTACACCTTGAACAGAACCATCTTCTTTTTGTTTCTTTTTTTTCAATTCTGGATAGGTCACCCTGACAGACACTTGGTGAGATGTTTGAAGCTGCTCATAGTATCATGACCTAGCTTGGAGACTGTGCCAAGGTATCATCTGCAGTGTCATGTCTGTGTTCTGTCTAAATAGCATGCAATGCTTTACATTGGCATCAGAAAGTCCACTTCAATATCATTTTTTGGCTGCTTTATAGTATTAGTACTACTATTTTTCTTCTGTAATCATGGATTTGCAATTTGACTGAAGCTGTAAATTTTGATATGTTGCCTTGTGGTTAAGTTGTATACCCATTACAGTGGTACGTATCCTTCATTACAAAGAGCCAGTTTGTCGTTGCAGTGTTTTTCTATTCACTTAAATCTATACATAGTTAGATGTCTTTCCCGATGTGCAAAACTCGATGGATGGCACATAAATTGCTTGTTTAACAGATGGAATTCAGGGATTTATGGCATTCATTATATTGATTATAATGCTCTGTACATATTCATTATATTGGTGAGTGCGAAATAGAGTGCAATGCACGCGCCAGCATGATCAGATCATTGGTAGATCAATTTTGAAGCCTGGCTGATGAATGACTAGCTTATATGGTTCTGTTGTTGTAGGCTGAAGTTTTCTTTCTTGGGCAACTAAGGCAGAAGAACCTGGTGAAATTGGTTGGGTAGTGCTACGAGCATGAACACCGGATGTTGGTGTACAAATTCATGAGCGTTGGGAGCCTTGAGACGCACCTCTTCAAAAGTGAGTTCTTCACTGCTTTCTGTCAATTGATCATTCCAAGTATTAGTATGTTTGGTGGTTCCTGAGACCAGCAAGATAAAGAAAAATGTTACTCCCTCCAATACAAAATAAGTGTCGTGGTTTTAATTAAAATTTGAACTAAAACCATGACACTTACTATGGATTTGTAAGAGTAATTCAGAATTCTGAGCACGTACGAGTGCCATCTGGTCCATTGATGATGAACTGTTCTTGTCCCCTGAACTTTCTTTTCCATAAGTCACAAGTCAAGAGGATAGCTGAGCTCTCTCTCCCTTCCAAAGGGACTACACTTTCTCTTTTTAAAATCAGATGAATGTAAATATTCGATATTTACTAAAAAGGGATACTGGATATTTTGGATTGAAAATTTACTTGTCCGACCAGCTTCTTGGTACTTGTAAGTTAGTACAACTCTTGGTCAATGTGGATGAGGAAACTGACCTGAAACATCCTATTTCCTTCACGTATAAATGGCTCCCTCCTGCGGATGATAAGGATGAAGATCGCCGTCAGCCCAAGGGCCTTAACTTTCTCCATGACGCCAACCTGCCGGTGATCTACAAGCAGGCCTTCAACATCTACTGGACTAGGTAGGTCACACGTAACTTGAGACTTTCTGCTAAGAAAAGAAGCAGTTCTCAAATGTCTCTCATTTTGGAACTTTAGTGATGGTTACTGAAAAATGGGGTCAAACAGTACATCACACCTCTTATGCTGAAATTACCACAAAAGTATGTGACAAATGAAAAAAATAATTTGATCTTCAATCTTAATTTCAAATCTTTACCTTTTGACCTGTTGAACCATCAAAGATGCCATGTTTCTGAGCTTTAGCTAGCCCAGTGCGTTAAGTGTAGCTCTGACCTGACTGGAACTCTGAATATTCTTGGATGGATGCCAAACCTGAGAAATCCTATGAACATTTTGCCGTCATGGTCACATAATTGTCCAGTGAGATATGAAGCTTCTTGTGTACTTTGTCCACCTATATTTGAGAATGATTCCACTTTTTGAACAAGAATACTTTAAAGTATTTACCCCAGGTATCTGTAAGCTATTACAAGGATCGAACTTATTTCCATCTTTCTTCGGTGCAAGCTGCAGGGTCAGTTTGAGCCTTCACGAGCTCGACATCGGAGCCAGCACTCTACATGCTTATCGACGCGGTGGCCATCGAGGTCAAACTTGTCCGGAAATACTTGTCGGAGTAATGGATGTATCTATACGCATTTTAGTTTTAGACACATCCATTTTTATGCATTTCTTCGACATGTACTGTGATTTGTGAAGACGTGCGTTGCACGTACACGCTAACTAGTCAATGAAAATGGCAAGTCTTTTGCCTTGTTTTAAAAAAACTAAATCATCATTATCTAAAATTGCATTAGGCTCAAATTGGTAGTTTTTCTAAATGAAGGTGAACATTTTACTAGAGAGAAGTCCTCGGTTAATTAACGAACAAAAACCATCACACCCCGCAAGCGGTGCATACAAAATATCTTTTTTTTGAAACGCATACAAAATATCTTACATAGACCACCGAGAAGAAAACTACATCAAGATTACATTGATGTCATCGCCACCCCTCTTTCTCTAAACAAGCCATCCCGACTTGATCACCGACAAGTACAACCATCGATCCGGCCGTGCCAAGTGACTAAATTAGTAGCAGTGGTTTTTACTCTTTGTTGTCTGTGAGAGGGAGGTGAGGACAACATAGTTTGACGTTGTTCAAACCCTTAGATTTTTTTTGGTTTAGAGGAAACTTGTAGAAATTTCATATAATAGGATTTCTATAGAAAAAATTCATTTAGAACCCTTTGGTTTGTATGAAAGAAATTCTATTTATATAGAGGAATTCTTTCTATCTTTCACAATTCATAGGAAAATAAATATTAGCCTAGATTCAATGAAAAAAAATTCTATGATGTAAATCAAAAGACATCTTCTTTTCTATTCCTACTCATAGGATTTGAGATACATGTCATCACATTTTCTATGATTTTCTTATTCCTACGATTTTCCTACTTTATGAACTAAAGAAGGCCTTAGCTGAAATTGACATATAACCGTGTCAATACATGAAACGTCGTGTCGGTCACTAACGGAGAGAGATCATCAGTTTCTTCCGGCATATATTCGCAAAAGAAAAAACGTCCTTGTATATCTATGCAAGATATACTCCATGGAAAAAGATAATCACAAGATGTGTGTACACTTGCTTAACAAGTCATACTACTACCTACTTAAGTGTGCACCCACATTACCAAATCATTAATGCATACGTATGTAGGTACGCACACAAACACGCACATATCCTAGCCATTTTCACTCGGTGGTTATCCTGACGCATTTCCTTTTTTTTGCGCGGATGCATTTCCTTTGTTGTTGAAAAGGTGGTCATCCTGACCCTGGGACTATAAGCATCGACGCACAAAACAGGCAGGAGTAGTGGTGCTAACCAGCGACATGTTTCCATGAACCGGTTCACCGGAGCAGTCTTGCAGGATTAGTCAGCATGTTGTCTGGTCGGTGTACCCACTGGAGATAAGATCGTGCAATCTATAGCACCACCGAGTCACTGACAGCCTTTTTTTGTGTGCGAATGAGTCACTGACAGCCTTAATTAAGAGTGATCATTGTGATTAAGATTCTCTACCTATCACGGATTACATGTGAGGCCAACTTCACGGCGCGACCCTATCCTGTCCGGCCCGTTCGTTTGGGGTAAAAGGGACAAAAAGGCGGCCCAACGCGCGGGAGCAAACGGACTTTTGTCCGCTTTGTGTCCGCTTTCGACCCATCTTCGGCCCAAACTTGCGCCGTTTTTGGGGTGAAAAGGACAGCGCGCGGATGGGCGGGATGCGCGCGCTTGTCCTCCCCTGGCCCGTCTGTCGGTAGGAGAAACCAAAAAAACTCCGACGACCATTTGGCGCCATTTCCCCCAAACCCTCTCACGTCCCTCCCGCTGCCCCCCCTCTCTCCCCCATCCATGGCCGACGCCCCGCCGAGTTTCGGCGGCCTGGCCGTCGACCCGACCGCAAAGGTGAAGAAGAAGGCGCCAAGGAAGCCGCGGTCGGAATACACGCCGGAGGAGATCGCCAAGTTGGACGCGGAATCGGCGAAGAGGAGGGAACGGAGAGCGGCCGTCAAGATGAATGCCGCCGCGGCCAAGTTCGCCGCCCAGCGCGAGGAGCTGGAGGCCGCGCGGCGCAAGGCCGCTGCCGACGAGAAGGAGGACCTCGTCAACAAAGCGCACGCCATCCTCATGCTTGGCATGGGCCGTCCGGCGGGGTTCCATGCAGCGGCCGTCGGCCTGGCGAGCACAGGCTCGTCGATCGCCCGGCCTACGCACTGCCAGTCGCCGACGTCGCGCGCCGCGCCCATGTCGCCCGACTTTCCTCCACCCAGGCACGACGGCCAGACCCGTTTCTCGGCGTCGCCGGACGTGGGCTTGTTCGCGCCGTCCACACCACGCCCCGCGACCGTCATCGACCTCAACGTGACGCCTGGGTCCAGCAGCGGCGGGCGGCCTTCCGTCGAGATGCAAAGAAAGCAGGCGCGTGCACCGTTCACGGGCACCATGCCGGCCCCCCGCGTGTTGTTTGACGAAATGCCAACCTCAACGCCGACGGTGGACGACCCCTTCTACAACCAGTACATGGAGGGCGTGATCTTCCAGGATGGGCATGGCCGTGCCTACGACCCCGATGAGACCCAAAGTCAGGATGGCCGCGCCCAGTACGTGCCCGATGAAGAGGCCGACAACCGTGCTGACTACGACCATGGTGATTCGTGGCATGAAGACGATGACATCTATGTCGAAGGTGAAGATGAAGATGAAGCCAATGATGTTGATATTAGTGGCGCTCCATTGTTCATAGACGAGCTCACCCAAAAAGCGGAAGCACAAAAGAAGCGGAAGAGCATTCGCACCGGTTCATATACACAAAATGAGGACAAATTGATTTGCCAATGTTGGATGGAGATTAGCCAAGATCCAAGGGACCGACGCGCAACAAAAGGGCATTGTTTTTTGGACGAGAGTCCACAAAACATTCCATGAAAGGAAGATGTTTGAGCCCTACCAAATTACAAGCAACCGTGGCATCGGTTCGATTCAAAAAAGATGGTTGTTCATCCAACAAGAGTGCAACAAGTATTGTGCCGCACTTGAGAGCGTTGAAGCACGACCCGTGAGTGGTCTCGGCGTTAGAGACATGGCATGCTCTTCTCTTTCTAGCCCTTGCTACGGCCATGAGACTTCGGCCGTGTATATGTTGCATGTTCACTTGTTGTTGATCATGTGGTGTAGGCATTTCAATCTTTGGAGGCATTCAAGGCCCGACACAATGACAAGCCATTCACTCTTTCGCATTGTTGGACGATCATCAACAATTGCCCTAAGTTCAAGGATCAATACCGTGAACTTCAAAGGAAGAGAGGCAAGAAGACGGCCAAGTTCGCCGGAGGTGGGGATGGCGAGGCGTTGAAGAGGCCGAGGGGTAAGACCAACTCAAAGGTAGACGACATACGTGACGCCTCATCCATGGCCTTGCATGAGACTTTGCATGGTATGATGTCACATAAGGATGTGAGGGACGAGAAAAAGCGGCAAAGCAAGAACGAGCAAATGAAGCAATACCTAGATCTCCAACGACAGAAGCTTGAGATGGAGGAGGCGGCCAAGAAGAGGAAGATAGACATGAAGGAGGCGGCCCGGCAAAGGCAGCTCGATATGGAAGAGGCCGCCCGGCAAAGGCAGCTCGACATCGAGGCCACCAATGCCGCTACCAAAGCGAAGGAGGTGGCCCTTGCGATCATGAGCGTGGACTTGTCGAAGATGAGTGACAAGACGAGGGCCTGGTTCGAGGCCAAGCAGAAGGAGATGCTCGACGCCGAAGGCCTGAACTAGGTCGTCCAATCGGCGTGGCCGTTCTTTTTGGAGGCTGGCATGGGTGCCGCCCGCCCGCTGGGCCGCTGGCAGTGTGCCGGCGAAAAAACATTCATTTTGGAGGTCGGCTGTGTTGCCGGCCGTTGGCTGTGTTGCCGGTAAGGACAACTATTCATTTTGGAGGCTGACTGTGTTGCCGGCCGCTGGCTGTGTTGCCGGCGATAGTCGTGTAGGCCGCTGGCTTTGTTGCCGGCGTGATGAACTCGAGTCGTGAACTGGGGCTTGGCATTTGAAACGTCCTTTTTTTTAAATAGACGCGAACATGATGCGGCAAAAGGATGCGGCCGCGCATTGGGCGCACGGCCACCGCATTCCAGGACAGGCCCGGATACGACCCCAAATCCCTATCTAAAAGGACAAAAATCGGACATCCGTTTGGGATCGCGCGGTGGAGTTGGGCTGAAGTCTTCAAAGCGGACACACGCATTGGTGGCGACGCACAAACAAACAGCTCCGTTGGCGTCACTTTATTTTAAAATCCGTGGGGCCCACTCCCGGTGAGTGCTGTACTAGTACAAAGGGTACGTGGAGCTTATCATTAAATGCATTTCATTTCCATCATATAGGGTCTATTTTGAGTTAATTTTACTACTACCTTTTAGATCACAGACAAACAGAGAGGAAAGCTAGCTGCCCAAAAGGAAGACAGAAAAGTGATCGAAACTGCTCCACACACGATGTTCTCTGGGCGATCTGTGCACGACAAAGTAATCCAGCGGCCGTTGCTTCGTTGCGGAGCAGATTCCTACGCTGGATTTAACCGTCGTCTGCAAATCGTCTGATATTGTCGTCCGCATAGCACTGCTCAAAAGTGATCCCTGAATTCATTTTATTTCCATCTGTATATTTTATCTATTTCGAGTTCCTTTTACCGTTTAGATCACAGACAAATCGGAGAGGAAAGCCAGCCGCCCAAAAGGAAGACAGAAAAAGCGATCCCTGAATTCATTCTAGAGGGGAAGCCCCTAGTTTCTGGCCATGAATCGTGGATGCAGAAACACTTTGGCATTGCACAGAAACAGAAATACTTTCACAAACTGAAGTTTTTTTTTTGATCACTTCACAAACTGAAGTTGAAATGGTGGGAGGGAGCCCATGCACATGGTTACTGCGCCACAAATGGACAATAACTGGACGGATGCACATAAATTTCCAATAGCAGTTACTCTCTCCCTCTCTCTCTATATATCTAGAAGCTGCTGTTCGTCTCCCCAATTTTTTCCACCAAGAAAACCCACCCAATTCCTCCTGCGCGCAACCGCAACAGGAGGAAGCAGGTCTCCTCAGCCACCTGGCCCCTGTTGAGCACCAGCTAACATTAACATTGATTTGTTGGCGTTCCTTCTCCACTACCTCCACCTCCACCTCCCCCCACCCCACCAACGTCCTCCCAATTTCTCCCCTTTTCTCCTCCCTTTCTCGCCACCATTGCCGGCTCCCGCTCCCCCTCCCCACCCGACCTCCACCTCCGCCGCCGCCCACCACTCCAAGCGTAGGCGAAGAGGGAGAGAGCAAAAGGCGGCGCAGGGGAAGGAGGCGGCGGCGGCGGCGGCGGCCATTGGAGATGTTTGACAGCTTGCTCAACTCCAAGTTCCACAACAAATGGTACGGCCCTGGATCCCTCCCTTCTCCCCGTCTGTCCATCCGGCTCTTGCTTTTGCTCTTGCTGGTCCGTGAGAGCTCCAGCTCTTGCTTCTGCTGGTCGCGCCGGCCCGAAATCCAGCGGCTGAGGATTTTTGGGGATGATTTGTGTTGCTCGCCGAGCTCTCCGGCGCTGGCGGCCGGCATTTGTTTGATTTCTGTATTGCTGCGGCCGTCGTTCATCAGAAGTCCGGATTTTTTTTTCAGTTTCCGAGCTGAAAGTTGCTTCGCCTTTAATTCAAGGGCTGTTTCTCTGTCTCGCCTGCCTTTCTCCCCTCTTGTTTGGCTGGAGATTACCAGGCCCGATTCGTGATTCGTGTCGCTGTTTCTTGGATGTGTTCGTCCAGCTTTGCTTGCTCTATGATGGTTTTGGGAATCTGTCCTTTTGGGGGATTGTGTCGCTTGTTCGAGCTGCTGCATCCTCGATTTGGGTGGATCGCATTTTGTTCAGGCTGTTGCATGTTTTTTTCTTGATCTGATTGCTGGATTTGCTACCGCTGTCTGATGCAGCAAGCACGCGATCAAATGCACCCGGACCCGGCTGGATCTGGTGCGCAAGAAGAAGCAGGCCATGGTCAAGTTCCTGAGGAAAGACGTCGCCGACCTCCTCACCAATAACCTTGAATCGCACGCCTTCGGACGGGTACGGCCTGCACACTCAACTCACCGACTTGCACTGCTTACTAATGATTATTACCAGCAGTGTACTCTTTAACTTGGTGCAAACAGCTGCATTTTTTCTTTCTTTTGTAAATGTTGGGCATGGGATGTGTATATATATGATGGATATTTCCTCCTGGGATGGGATGCAGATGGAAGGGCTGATTGTGGAGATGAACCAAGCTTCCTGCTATGACATGATCGAGCAGTATTGCGACTACATAGGGAAGCAGCTCAACAACCTGCAGAAACAGAGGTATCACCGATGTTTATGCTGGGATTGTTAACAAGGGACATGTCGGTCAATGTTGCAATCCCTAGTAATTAAGCTTGAGATCAATTGATGCCATATGTTTCATTCGATTACTGCACCGCAGATGTGTGTTCTACATTTTCTGGTGTATGAGGTCTTTGTGATTTCCTCCCGTATGTGATGTTTCAAAATTGTTGCTTAGTTGACAGCAATAGCTTGACTCTCTGAACCATTTTCTGCATAATGCATGACATGCTCCAGTTTTGATTGAAAACGTAAAATGACACAATTCCTGTCAATTTAGCTGATCAACTAACTTAGTATGTATTAGCTATGTTCTGTAACTATTTGCATGGTTTTTCCAAAGTCTTAGAGGATCTCGAAACTGCAAATAAGCATATACTCCCTCCGTCTGAAAAAGCTTCCCTTAATGGATGTATCTAGCATCAAGTTTTTTCGGACGGAGGGAGTACTAGCTTTCTGCACAATTGTTCAGTATCAGTGGGTATATACCCAACTTCCATACTAGATGTGTTGTTCGTGTTTTGCTATATCAATCAAGCATATGCACCTCTTACAGAAGTTACGAATACTTCTGGTTGCATTCAGTTATGATTACGCAACTTCCTTGTATAGTTGATCACTAACATATGGTGCTCTATTTACAGTGAATGCCCTCATGAAGCCTTGGGAGCTGTGTCAACTCTGATTTTCGCTGCTGCTAGATATCCTGATTTACCTGAACTGTGTGAACTCAGACATGTATTCACAGAGAAATATGGGGCTTCCATTGAACCTTTTGTTAGCTCTGAGGTGCATACCATGCTGTGATTTTTGTGTTTTGAGTTGCTCTCTTTGTTGCACCTATGCTGATTAACTTAACCCTTACGTGGACAGTTTGTTCAGAAGCTTCAGAACAAATCATTTACTAAGGAGGAGAAGTTGCAAGTGATTGAAGATGTTGCTGAAGAATTTGCGATCCCGTTTAATACCAAGACATTTGAACGACAGATATCTGGTGTGCCTCTAAATAAAAAGGTATGTTTTAGGGAACTTACTGGTTTATACCGCCCATCCTTTTTATTAACAACTCGAATGGTCATTCACTTGTGATCTTTTTTACCAGGAACTTCTGAAGAAGGGTTCATTCAACGGTGTAGAGGTTGAAGCATCAGGGCGCAATGGACACAGGGTAGATAAGCATGCTGTGCTTGACAGGAAATCTAAATCTATACCTGATGGCCGTGAATGGAAGCAAGAATTTCAGATAAAACCAAAAGATATTCATGTCGTTCCTGATTACATTGGTCAAGTTGGTGAGAACAGCAGAAAGAACTATTCAGATAAACCTGTTGAGAAGAAACATTTGGATAGTGATGTGCCTCCTGTGGACATGAAGCGAAGGAATGGTCATCAAAAGGAGGTCAACAAAGACGAGAAAAAGGGCGGTCAGTCTTGGAGGGAACTGATGAATGCAGAGGAGCTGGATCTCAATGGCTCAAAGAAGCAGGAGGTTGCCGTGGCAAAATCTGTTCAAAGAGAAATGAAGAAAATAGTTCTTCCATACACAGACCTAAAGGAAACTGAGAAGAAAGACGGCGCCGAAAAGGCTAATGCCGAAGGCTACCATCGGACCCACATGGCTGCTGGCACTGATCATAACTGGGGACATGCTGACTTGGGGCTTAAAACCCTGGGCCTGGAAAAGCAAGAAACTGAATCAGCTGGCACCTTGAATGGCAATGGCAAAGCAGTAAACAAGGTTCCTCCATATTCCAAGCCGTACAGAGCGACGAGCGAGAAGTCTGCTGAAGAAGATAATAATGGCTTGTACAATCGAGCACGGCATATGGGAGAGTTTGGACAGCCAGTGCAAGATAGGCAGCAAATGCCAGAGAAGCTTGTCAACATGCGGCCTCCCTATGTGAAGCCAAACTCTAGCATGAAGCCCGCGCATGAAAATCCAACAGATCAAGCTGCTCATGGTTACAAGCTCAACGGCTCGGAAGCAACGGGTCACCGGAGAGACGGTCTGGTCGACGATGATGGTGCACCTCCTCGGCCCGTTTCCGTCAGAAGGAAAAGTTCAAGGCCACCAACACACGGTTCTTTGTATGACGAGGCGGCCAATGATGAAAAGGTGGCAAGCCAAACCCCTGGTGGCCGAACAAGGCGTCCAAGCAGCAGGAATGGCTCCCAAGACGACCATGAGCGACGAAGGCACTCGAGCAGGCGTAACGGGTCGACGAGTGGCAGCGACTACCAGACAGAGGAGGATGAGACTGACACTGCGATTGATTTTGGCAATCTGTTGCCCCGAGCGCCTCGTAAGCACCGGAGCAGGAGTGCTCATCCCCGTGAAGGAGGGGGGCACGACGACGAGGAGAGGATGATGGATAAGCTTCTGAGGCATTACAGCAAGAAGGGGATGGAGAGGGAGGAGGAGCACAAGACGAGGGCCAAGTCCAGGACTCCCCGGCCTCGAGCAGATCAACCTGCTGATGGCAACAACAGAGACGGAGCGCCCAGTCATCCAGAGAGGACAGTGTCTCTGCCTACAGAATCAGGTTCCCCGGTGGGGAGGACGAAGGCTCCGGCTCCTGCTCGGTCCATCTCGCTGCAGCAGGACACGTCCAGGGGGAACGTGCACCCGAAGATGCCGGATTTCGACGAACTTGCTGCGCGGATCAGCGCTTTGAAGAGGCCATGAGTTGCCTGTCACCAGACCGTGTGTTTTACCACAGCAACAGATCTCATGACGGCGATCACATGATTCAGAGGATCTCCTGAGGTAGTTGCATGCCTCCTTGCACCTTGGTGGCCTGGCCTTGTTTCGATCTTTCTTTGGTGGTATACTTGCATTGCATTGCATTGCTCCCTGTGTGCGATGTCTAGGTAGAGAGCATTGGTTGGAGAATTCGAGCGGGCAATTTGATAGGGAATACCATACTATATACATGTTGTTGGGTGCGGTTGTTTGATGTGCTCATGTGCTTGTCTGTCAGTGTATGTATAGATGCCGTTGATGAGGCTATACTGAAAGTGATGATTTCTTCATTCTTGTTTCCGTTGGTGCTGTGTGCATGTGAGTTTTAAGTTTGTATGCGTTTGACATTTCAACCTTGAATTTCTGACCCATGACAACATTACTATTAGTCAGACTGGCCACGTTGAGTCGAAGCATTTTCTGGTTGTTTCTCGCAGGAAAGGCCGAGCGAGCATGTGGCCGCCGGCGCAATAAACGGCGCCGACGCCGACGCCGAGTGACTTCCTGGCCTAACAATAATCTACGCACGCACGTTCTCTTCATAGAACTTCAAATTAGCTGGGTCAGTTCAGTACCGAACTAAACTACTGCTGGCGTATAGGAATCTGATGCCGGCGAATTCCGTGGATTCTCCTGACAGAAGAAGAAAGCATGCCAGGCACGTCTCGCAGCTAGCCCAGGGACCTCATGACGCCGACGACGAGATGCAGGATGCGGCTGTCGCCGCCGCCGCCGTCGAGCATGCCGTCGCAGACGAGCCGCTCCAGCCGGGGGTCCCTCGGCAGCGCCCCGCCGTGGTACAGCACGGTCGCCGCAACCGCCGCCGGCGGCCTGCTCGCGACGCACGCCGCCAGCCTCGCCACCGCCCGGAGAAACAGCGGCAGGAGACCCTGCGCAAACCCAAGAATAAATCAGCAAACTGTACCCAACGAACAGAAACATAGCACGTTCGCACAGTAAAAAATGGATCAAAATGCTCGTGGGTAGAAACAGAGCAGCGCTCACCATCGCATGGCCTTCCGGTTACCTCCGGCGGGCGCTTCTCGCGCGATCGGCGGGTAGATATACCTTTTGTGCACTTCTCCTTTCTGGGGCCGGTTTGAAGCTATCCCATTTATACGCGGGCACTCCAAGATAACTAACTGCCTAGGTAGGCTCTGCTTGCGACGCAAGAATTTCTTAGGATACATCAGAGCTGATTTTTTTTCTTCTTCTTGGGGCACAAGAATTATTTGGACAATAAATACGTTTTCAGCGTGAATCTGAAAGGAACGGGGTTTCCATGTGGGGCTCGACGCGACGGGATTCGCTAGGTAAAGGGCTGGCGATGGCAGCAACGGACGGTCGTTGCACACTAGGCTAGTCTCGTCTATGTAAACTTGGCACGCCTCTAGCTGCGGCTCTCTTGGTTCCTCCTCCCTGCCTTTTGTTCTTCACAAAAAGAGGTTTTTATACATATATTTACTGGTTCTGCTTTGGGACACCAAATATATTTTCTTTAGTGCTGGAAAATGTATTGTCCGCCTCTTTTTATCGGTTTGGATTTTTGGAGTAATTCGTTGGAGCATGAATTCATTATAGTGTCAAAATCAAGAGGTCTTAAGTTGAAGACCCAGTCAATAGAAAAATAGTTGGCCTTCAACGATCTCACGTCTAAGGCCTAACGGAGCCTGGACAGGAGGGGGAGTATTGAAATATTTTGCACGTCTCTTTTTATCGATTTTTGAGTAACTGGTTGGAGCACGAATTTAATACTTAGTTTTCTATGGACATATTTCTTACTCCATGCTTGCTTGACGACCCTAAATTTCCTCATGCCACCCCCTTCTAACCCGTACCAACCCCCTCTCTCGATGCACGTCCTCCGTGGCACGTTGTCCCCTACTTGCCGCCGTCACCTTCGTCTCACTTGGAATGTCGTTGTTGCAAGCGGCAATGTGCATTGAGTAAGGATGTTGCCTAACACCGATAGAGCACCTTCTCTCAGCTCATGGGACACCCATTACCTTCTGGCCATCGTTGTACACAACCTTATCATCATCATCTTGCCGGTCAATGATCCTCTTTCTTATACCCTTTCATGCTTCCTCCTACGTCACCCCTCTAGCGCCGCCCATATCTCCCTACCGGATGACATGATGCTCTTGTAAGACCTTTTTATTTAAGTAAGAATGGCTCGGAGAACCTAAGTACATATGAAGTTCATAACACATAACAAATTTGTCAATTACAAGGACACACACACTCACACACACCACAATCACACCACCACATCCACGCATACACATGCATGGTTCCAAACCGTAACATTCTAGATCTGGAGCAAAAAACACTTGGATAAATCACATATTTATCCTATGCATCAGAGACGATGGACACATGTAAAAGTGCATGCACGTGAAGATTCGGTCGTTATCTTTTTGTCGAAAGAACGAATAAAAACCTTTGACGAAGCACTTTTTGATAAGTTTCTCTTTTTGATAACCTTTTCCTTGATTTGATAGCTTCCGCTAAAATGCTACAAACATGGACTCGAAAAGAGGAATTCACATTCACTATTTCCCCTCGTAAAAAAGGATTTTTTTAGAAGAAAGTGATAGTAGTTTGATACATCTATCTCTTTTGAGTTCTTTGTAGGTATATCTTTGAATGGCCTCCTTGAACGAGGTATCTACTTGACTTTTCTTTTTGGTGGTGGTAGTGGTGGTGGTTGTAAGTGCATCTAGTGCCAACCCTAGTTGGTTTTGGAGTATTGACGACAAACCTAGTTGAGGAACTAATGTGTTTGTGAGAATTGCAGGATAACACAGGTAGAAGTCCCTCATTGATTCGGTTTTCCTACCAGAGATGACCCCTAAAAATGTATGAAGACATTGATGTCAAAGGTGGTATGTGAAGATACTCACATTGAAGACTATGACAAGAGAAGACATCGCATGAAGCCTATGGAGCTCGAAGACTTAGATCTTTTGTAGTTTTGTTTCTTCTTTGTTGAGTCATAGGAACCACCGTACTGTTAAGTGGGGTCCAAGTGAACCAGTCAGAATGACTGAAGTGATGCTTAACCAAAACCTATGTCTTCGATTGAAGACTATGAGAGCGAAACTTGTCCAGAGTCGGACAAGTCAGCTTTGCTTGTAGCCCAAGTAAAGCTGCCGCGTGAGTTTGAAATCTGACCGTTGGAACACGTGTCAGTTCCTTAGTGACCCAGGGTCATTTCAGACAAATCAGGTCGGGTTGCCTAGTGGCTATAAATAGCCCACCCCCTACAACCATAAACGGTTGGCTGCTTAGAGTTAGAGTACAGCTTTTGTCGTTTGAGAACAACCCACCTTGAAGCCTTTGAGAGAGAATTCCTTGCGAGGATAAAGCCCTAACCACCCAGAGCCTAAGAGTGTTAGGCATCACTTAAGTCTTCTTGTCTGTGTGATCTGAAGACTTATTACACTTGAGGACTGTGAATCCTCCAGCCGGTTAGGCGTCGCGTTCTGAGCATCCAAGAGACATTGTGGATTGCCGGTGAACGAAGTCTGTGAAGGTTTGGGAGTCTACCTTGAAGACTTACCAGAGTGATTGGGCGAGGTCTGTGTGACCTTAGCTCAAGGGGAATACGGTGAGGACTGGGTGTCCTGAGCTGCGTGTTCAGGACTGGGTGTCCGGGACTGTGTGTCCTCAGGTTTAAATACCTAGCCGCCCTAACCAGACGTATAGTTGTCACAGCAACTGGAACTGGTCCAACAAATAATTGTCTTCAACGATTACTGGTTTCATCCTTCCCTTCCCTTTACTTACTGTTGGTCCTTGTGAAGTCATTGTATGATTGCACTATCTTTTGTCTTCACTGAGTGACTGCGTGTTCTGTTTGGCTTCATAATATCTTCCTACCTGATCCTTACTACATTGCTGCTATTAGTCACTGTGCTTCCACTCCATTGAATACTTGACTATGGTTTGCCTAGTGTAGTCTACCTTCCGCTGCATGGTAATAGGTTTATTTCTATCGTTGGTCTTCATAACTTCCACATTTTGAAGACTTTCATAAAAATCGCCTATTCACCCCCCCTCTAGTCGATATAACGCACTTTCAATTGGTATTAGAGCGAGGTACTCCCTTGTTCTGTGTGATTCCGTTTAACCACCTGGAGTTTTAGCTATGTCGACTGCAGGGATAATTAAAGTCTCCGCTGCGTGCCCCGTCTTCGATGGAACTGAATATCCCTACTGGAAGAATAAGATGCGCATGCATCTTGAAGCCATTGACGTCGACCTATGGTATGTCGTCAAGAACGGCGTTCCCAAGACTGGAGAAGGTGTCACTGCTGCTGATGTCAAGAAGTTCATTCAATTGGACTCTACTGCCAAGAATATCATCTGTGGTCATCTGACCAAAGGACAGTATGGTCGCGTGAGTGCTTTGGAAACATCTAAGCTAGTCTGGGACTGGCTCTCCAAAGTCAACGAAGGCGTCTCAACCCAGAGAGATCAGAATCAGTGTCCTTCGCAACCTCTTCAACCGCTTCAAGAGAAATGATAATGAGAATGTCCAGCTCATGTTTGATCGACTCACTGACATCACAAATGAGCTTCAAGCCCTTGGCGCTACTGAGATCACCAAGCATGAAGTCGTCAAGACACTACTAAGATCACTTGACAGTTCGTTTGACACCCTAGCCCTGATGATTCAAGAACGTCCTGATTTCAAGACACTCAATCCGTCTGACATACTTGAGAGGCTGAACACATATGAGTTTCATCTTTTTGAGAAAAGAGATATCTACGATCCAAACTATGGGCGAACTCGTGCCTTGAAGGCAAAAACTGTCTCCTCATCTAAAGAAGAATCTGACAGCAGTTCTGATGATCCTGAAGACATTGGAAGGGAACTTGCTATGCTTGTGAAGAAGTTCCAAAAATTCACCAAGAAGAAAGGCTTAAGAAAGTCT